TAAACTTGTTTGGTTATGCATCCACATGCTTTTTTTTCTTTGCTAGGCCTTATCCAAGACCCCCAGTCAGATCCTGCAGTTCATTTCTGTTCATCATTCTGTATAGAACAGCATCTCTTGCTTGCATCCATGTATGCTTTTCCCTAGAGTTGCTTTTCAGTATCAATTCCATGGAGTCCAATTCAGAATGTAAATACTTGTCTGCACATTTGGGTATGAAAATGTTTGAGGCTTCAAAATATTCGGGTAACTGAAGATAGTATATGAAGAATACAGAGGTTTGGAGTTATTCTCTGAGTAGGCAAAAGAGGTAGAGGATACCAGAGAGGCAAACTGAAATTTCCTGGGGCCAGAAATTAAAAGGAAGAGAGAACTAGGAACCCTCTGCCTCCTTACTGTTAATTGACTTCTTCAAGCTCTTAGAGGTGGAAATACTGCGTGCCAATAAAGCACAAATGAGGAAAATGTATTTTAGGGAAGTCTAGAGCACATGATATGTGAGAAGAGGCTGAAGTAAACTGGTTTGTTCAGCTTCCAGAAGACAAGGTGAACAGCAGATTGTATTGCTGTCAAACTTCCTAATGGGTGGGCAGAGAGAAAATAGATAAAGACTCTTCTTTAAGTTAAGTAGGGACAGAAAAAGAAGCAACAACCCCAATTTGCAGTACAGGAGATCTCAGTGAAAGGCATTGGGAAAGAAAATTTCACCACAACAGTGGCCAAGCCCAGAGAATTGGAGTCTCCATCTTGGGAGGTGCTAAACGTGGACTGGAAAGGGCTTCGAGCAACCTGAGCAAATCTGTCCTACTCTGAGCAAGAGGTTGGACCAGATGACTTTGAAAAGTCCCTTCCAACCGAAATAGTGCTGAGAATCTATAGCTCTTACTTAGTTGGTCAGTGAGATACTAGGATTGAGTGGGTTCGTTACTGTTTGGGTAGGTAAAATCTAGGGAAGGAGCATGTTTAGAGATAACATTACTTTTTATAGGTTTCTTAGACTTTGTTTGTCTGTGCTGTGATTTTGAGAGGCTCTATAGGCTGTCTCCTTTCTTCTCTTTTAACTTGAGGATATCTGTCTTTCCTGTGTCTGCCATTAACACTATACATAAGTGCATCTGTTTGAGATGGATACCTCAAAATTGAGCCTCAGTGCACAGGAATTGTTAGAGGACTGAACTGAATGTCACTGGTGAACTGAATGCTCACTGGTGCACTCAGTGAGCACAGTCAGATACAGGCTTCAAAAATAGTCTCAAGTATCTTGTTGTATGAAGATCTTGGAGATAGAGTACACATTAGGATATTTTATGTATTCTAATTATATTCTCATGCTCAGAAAGATAAGAGAAAGAGCAAGGATAACTTTCTCTTAATAAAAGGTTAAGAAGAACATGGGAGAGTGGACAACTACACACTGCTTTTTCCAAACACGCAATGTGCTGTGATGTGTAACATTTCTAAAAATTGGAGAAATCCTGAAATGTTCGGATTGACGTTTCAGTGCCTGTCTAAATTCAGTGTCTGTCTGAAATATAGGGTTCAATAATCCTATTATGTGTGTCTGACACACTCCTCCTTCTTTAGCAATGTGCCTCCCATAGCTGCTATAATAAGACAGAACAGCCAAAGCCTAATATTGTGTGCCTCATCCTATCATTCAGCAAAGCTATATCGTCATCAGATGCAATCTATTGTGTTCATTCCTGCTGTGTGGTATTGATTTTTCTAACCTTTCCTAATGTTAAATTTGTTTGGCTTTTTAACTTTCTTACAAAAGGTTAATGTTATTAAGTTGAGCAGGTATCTATAAAACTACAAGCGTTATTACCTATCTTGCCATTGTTATACTGTCCTTTCATTAAACTCTGGCTGCAGTGGGTAGCTCTGTCTTGAAGATTTTTGTCATTCCAGAATAATGCAGTGGAGATTGAAAAGAACTGCATTACAATTGTCATCCAATTCCGTGGCATAAAATATTGGATTTGATATATCAGGAGCAACAGATTTATCTGAAGCTCTTAAACCATGAGTGAACACGAACTGCACAGACATTAATTCCAACAAGGCTGTAAGGAGGGTGCAGGATGATGCAAGTGCTGCTGCTTGTCCCCACCCCCAGTTCGATCTGGCCATACCAGTCTCTTTGACATTGTGGCAAAAGGAGCAGTTCTAAAATCTCTGTCAATTCCAGAACTGGTTATCTGTTTGATGTGGAAAGAGAATGAGAAATCACAGTTTAATTTGAAGGAAGTTGTGGATTTAATGGTAACACTCTATCAACATTTTTTGATATGATGATCTACAACAGTACTTGTATAAAGCATCAAAGGTACAAGCAGTGAGTAAGCAGTTTCAGGATACCCCTCCTAAGCCACAGTACCTTCTTGGTACCGATATTGTGGGTACAGTAATGTGCCTTTAATGAACTGTGCATTCGACGTCCCATCCACATATTTAGATTGGGTTTCTGTGATGGGTATTTGAGGCCTTTTATGGTGAATATGCAGAAAAGACAGTAGCAGGTCTGAACATATGTTTTCTATGTGTGGTACATCACAGCTTTCTTCTGGACTGTGGTAAATGACCTTCAGTGCTCTCCAACCACCATGCTAATGTTATATCTTGCCTTGGTAGTACCTTGAAGTTGCTTTAGAATACTTTTCTTATCAAAGAACATCCTGAGAAGCTGGGCAAGAATGGAACTCAAGTGAAATGTTCTTAATAGTAGCATAAAATAATAAAATAATTTAAGCTGGTTTAGATCATCACTTAAAAAAAAAAAAAAAGATAGAACTTGGCACTTTGGTCTTCCCTGTGTGGAAAGCAGAATTGCAGCATACCTACAGCTGCCAAAACCTGCCTGTTCAAGGAGATCAGGCTTGTTAGTGAGTGCAGGAGTATTTCAAAGTGCTGAGGGAGAGTGGAGGTTAAATTTTTTATTTATAAATTGGTACCTATAAAATGCTTACTTCTGCCAACGCTGTGAAGCCAAGGAATGGCCCTGGCAAAAGACAAAAAGCCTTCCTTCTCTACTGCCAATTTAAGAGCTGGTAACTGAGGTTGTGTCTCTTCTCCCATGCTCAGCAGTAGCTGTCCCTGCCATTGATTTACTCTTTATCTGTCGTGTTCTCATGCTGTTCAGCGGCTGTTTGAGAAAGACTGAGGAGGTTCTGTCTGTTCAAAGTTTCTCACAGCTTGGTGTCTCTTCCCACTATCAGTGCTGATATTGAGACTGTCTGAGAGCACCCCATCCTTAGTGAATGAAACATCTTTTCATTTAGAGTGGCTTTGATTAACAAATCCCCTTTGGTAGTTTTCAGATCCAACCGTGAGCTTTCTGGGTGGGCCTGAACACCCGTATACCTTTCCTCGGCTCCCTTGGTGTCTCTGGCTGGTGTTGCCGAACTCACATGTTCATTATAGGCTCCAGATGGCTTGTGTCCCTTCTTCTCCTGCCAATTACCCTTTTGCCTTTCCTAGTGAAGAGTGGAGATGTGACAGCTCTTCAGGTTGTTTCATGCTTAGCACTGAGTCCAGGATCCAGCTACATTTTCCCTAACCCTTTTGTGGGGGCAACAGCATCACATCTGCAGTGGAGGCCTCTGATTACATGTGCTGTTGCAGCAATATGATTCTTCATCCAGGCAAGCCTGAAAAGATATTTAGGGCAATATCAGGTATCAGAAAGGCTATTACTTTTGACTATGTTTCCTTTCAGAAGTTTTTGAGGAGGGAGGAGAAGAGGTATAATAAAAAAACATGTCATTATCTTCTCCTCCCTTACCTCTTCTACTTCATCCAAATGCAGCCCCTTCTGCATTATGGCTTTATTTGGTTTTATATGCATTCTGACTGTGTGGGGAAGCACCTCAGTGATACTGTATGTTTTCCTATTGGAGGCTTGTTACATTGTTGCATGCAATTCACTAAACTCCGTGCATTCACTAATCTGGGAAGTTTTGTCTTCTGTGCCTTTATTTTCACAACTAATGTAGATGCAACTTCAGCAATTTGGTGTTGGTTGTTGGTTGTGGTTTGGGGGTTTTTTTGTGGGGGGAGAGGATTTGTTTGGGGTTTTCGTTTGTTGGTTTTGGTTTTGGTTTATGGGTTTTGTTTGCATTGGGTTGGGTTTTTTTGATGTAACAAAATAAGGCACTTTATAAACACAGGCACACATACAAATATTATATAGTCTGAATGTTTTTCTCTTAACAGTTGTTATTGTGTATAGGAGAAAATTAAAATCCGTCAGGTAAGACAAAGATAAAAGGCTTTTAAGGGAACCTTGTGGTACGAAAGGGAACCTCTAAATACAGCATGTATGGTTTTTACTTTAATTTACAATGCTTTACTTGGTATTTTGTGTTCTTGAAATGTCTTTGAATAGTGACTTTATGTGGTAGAAGCACTTCACTTTTCCTTACTCAGCTTTTTTTCAGAGGCTTAGGAATTGCTTTAGTTCTTAATTAAGAAATCTGAACTCCTGCTCTTCTCTACTTTAACATGCTCTCACCCATAGTACCCCACTGCAAGGAAATCACTGTTGGATCACTGCAAATTAACTTCTAGAACTGCACCGGGGTCTGGAAGCTTGAACACTTTTGTATGCTTACATATATACACATTTGAATATATGTAGCAGCATCAGAGAGAACAGTCATCTTCATGGAAGTTACTGATCACCCAGGGCTTGCTACACCAGAACTTGCTCATCCAGGAGAGCATCATAAAACATGCTTATCCAAGGCACAAAAGTGCTCAATGGGTTTTGAATATCTACTCCTCTAGCCATCAAACTGCTATTTCATAGTAACTTGTTAAGCTGGAACCTACAGTCTTTGGGCTCTGTAAGGGTAATATTCTTTTACTTAATTCTGCATCTCCATGAAGAGACTCTGAGTTATTGACTGCAGTTAAATTCACCAAAGACATCATTAGTTCTCAAAATTGAAAAATGATTGACTTTTTTTCTCTCTCTGTTTTACTGCTTCCTTCACTAGGGATGTGAGTTAATTGAGACCATGGATCAGGACCTCACAGATTTCACCAAGTGTCTTCAGATACTCCAGAAAAAGATAGAGAAGAAGGGCCTCCAGGTAAAGACAACAAATCTTTTGTCTCTGGTTCTTAGTAATTACTCTTTCTCTCAGTGTATTTAGGTTTATCTTATAAGTTTACACCGAAATGTAACTAGTTTCTGTAGCCTTGCCATTCTGCAGTTTTGTCATAATTTACTGCACACATTGTAAGCATTGATGCTTCTGCTAAAAGGAATTATAAAGTGTGTCGATGAACAAGTGTTGGCTTTCTTAAAAGGCAGCTTGCATTGATTTCTGTTAATGAACTACCCAAAGTACAGAAGAGCTGTTGTGGTTGGTGTTCAAAGAAAGAGTCCCTCTTTGGCATGTAAATATATTTTCAAGACTTGGCACACAAGTTCATCTTGTTCATCTCCTTTCTCTCCCCATCCAAAGGTGAGATGGAGAGAGGGAATCTTATCCTGCCAATATTACATATGGTAAGCAATACCTCCTTCTGCAAGCAGTTCCCCTGGAATCAAAGGGAGCCTTTGCAGAGCGAGGAGCGCACTAAACTTAAAAGGAGCCATATGGAGTTGTCAGCAGCTCCTTTCATTTGAAAGGCAAGGAAGGCAACGTTCTGCCTCCCGTTCCACAGTTTAGTTTCGGAGGCCCACTTGTTTTGTCTCTCTGAGATGAAAAGTTAAAATTCCTTAGGAATTTCAAATGTGGTGGGTCAGTAGCAGATGTGCTCTTGGAATTGCTGCCCTTTCCTCCCAGTGGAACAGTCATTCATAAGGGCTGACCTCTCTCTTCTGCTCTTCACCTGTGGGTAAAGAGAGGAAACATCTGCTGCATCCTCTTACCTAAAGTGAGGGCAAGAGACATGGAAGCAAATTAAAACAGCACAACATGAAAGAATATGCGTAAACCTCCTTTTTCCCCATTTTCATTGTAGCAGGATAAGGAAGTTGTCTGATTTTCTGAGATCACCGTACTCCAGCAAAACAGCAAGGGATGGAAATACCAATACCCCTCTCTCTTTCTTCTTTCCTCACTCCAGGCTGATAAAAAATTAAGCACTTTTTCCTTAAGCTATTTTGAAATGTCATGTTCTTCTAAAGGAAATAAATGTCCATGGGACATTTTGGAGTGCTGTTGCACAATGCCCATCTGCAGTTGCATCTCAATACACACTGTTGTTCATCAGAGTTATTTTCCCCATCAGTATAGACAGATATGGGAAGGTTTCACCATACACTTCTCTTATCTGTTTGGCTGTGAGCCAGGAAACTCTTTGTATGATAGTTTATTTTCTTTTCCCCTATAATTTATCATCACAAGGGTTCAGAGGAGCATCTTCCCATCCAGAATGGGAGTGATAATAAGTGCCATTGGAACAGATGTGCCTAGGATTTGGTTTGAATTTGGCAAGTAAGGTGCTTTCTTCTTAACAGAAATACCCTTAGAACGAAGGAGAACTTGAATGTTTCCTGAATTTTGTTCATTATCAAATCCCAGCTATTATTTTAGAGGGAATTTTTTTAAGATATCACAACATGTTTTATAATGAATAATCAATGTATGGTTAAAATAAGAGCATTGGGAACATGGCAGCTACAGATATGTTTCAACAATAAGTAGTCTATTTGTAGAAGTTTGAGTTCTTTGACCACTCTCGTAATAAAGCCGTGTTGTGTTGGCTAAAGGATACTACATTGTAATCCTGGATGATATTCTCCAGAGAACAAGCCGGAGTGTCATTGCAGTAATGCACTAAACCTAAGATTTCCATTCAGTTATATTTTCATGCCATTACATATAAGAGATGTGCTTTAAATACGAGTTTTTTAGACATGTAAAAAGTAACACAGATTAATTTTCTAAAACTAAGTACCATGTTCACTAATCCTAGCTGCTTCTTGTTTACAGTCTATTCCATCAAACATAATAAGATGCTATCAGCTGATTAATGCACACTAGCTACAGCATCATGCATTTCTATTTTTGGTCTTCTGCATTCTCTGATATAAGGTCATTGACTCAGGCAGATAAAATGTGAAACTTAAACAAATGGAATACAAAACTGTATTACAATTGTATAAATTACAAGTTTGGTTTCCAATTTGCCCTTTGTTCAGAAGCATTGAGTATGATTTGTTAGTAGGTGATTAGCGGTTCTTCAGAATGTCCTTGTAATGCAATGCATAGCTTGATGTCTGGTTTCCCAATAGCACAGAGATTCTGAGCACTTGCAAAATACAGTGTCCTCAGTTTATGGATGCAGCCTCGTGGCTCCTCTGAAACTCTAGCCACTTTAAATACTTAAATTTGCACTTAATTTGGGGGTTTTTATTGGTAACATTCCGCCATAAAAAATGTCAAGTGGTAAGATAAAGAAGGAGTTCTTCATCTGCATGTAGTTTTTTTGACCTCAAGTACAAACTTGCATGTCACAAAGTGGAATTTTTTTCCTTCTGGAAAAAATATCATAAAAGCTTTCCTTTTAACTGAGAGTATTAACTAGGTGGAATATGTCTTACTGGTTCCAGGAAAAATATGTGTAACACCAGGGGGTTTTTTTCCCACTCTGTCTTGCTTATCCAAAGCATTTGTCAAAGAGAAATATGACAAAGAGACATTACAAATCTGTTTTCTCATAAGTTATAGTTGAAATAGCTAAACAAGGAATGTATCTCTTTAGTATCTTTAAAAAAATGATACCACAGTCATGATGTGCTTACTGCTCTTTCTGAGTAGCAATATGTTAAGCTGGGAACTAAATTGCATTCGGAGTATGCCATGGATTCACAATCCTGTGACATAGTTTGTCTGGATAAAATTCAACTGTGAGTAGCTGAGGTATTTGAAATGGATGTTCCTTCATTGGTTGGAGAATAAGTTATCATTGATCTGCTATACCGAATGGATAAAATTTCTACTCTGATTTATCAGTCACCTCTGCAGAAGTTCTATGTCAAGGAGGTTTTTGAGATCACGTGAACATATGGGGGCAATATTTTGTTCCAAAGGAATTAAGTTTGTCTAATTTCCTTTCCATGTCTCTACACCTTCATCACCCTCCTTCTCTTCCTTCCTGATCATCCAAATAGCTTTTGAACAAATAACTTTTGAATAGAGGAATGGAGTACTGAAAGATAATCATGTCAAGCAGTTTTCTTGGATGTCACCTGAGGGGAAGTGGAGATGAGATAGCTACTCAGTATCTATCTGGAGAGAAGGCTTCAAAAAAAGTTGGTTTTGATTTTAAAGGTGTTTAGAGAGTTCAGTTTGAGAAGAGGCCTTAGAAATGTCTTTACAACAAGGAAATATGCATTTAGAGTTGATGGTTAACTGAGATACAAATTTGGGAGAAAAAAATGCAAAATGGTTTTGAGCATCTTGTTTGATATAAACAGCAGTAATTCTGTCTTCTAGAACAATTAGCCAAATTTGTGACTGCTTTTTCTTTATTTCCTAAACAAACACTCTTAGACTAGTTTTAATACTCAGAGTCGTTTATTTCTAGTTTACATTGCATATTTTTGTTGCATAGGCAAGTCATGCAGAAAGCAGCATTTGGGTCATTTCATGAAATCTAAGTCACCTAATTATATGTATTTATAATTGCATACTGCTGTGATTTTAGAACAAAATTTTGCAAGCTAGAATCAGGCTTAATCTTCCCTCTCCGCAACCCTAATTCATTTGTGAATTGCATTCTATTGGATGGGTGAAGCAGTGAAGTACCACCAAGAGAATCTGACTCCTGAAGTTTCTTTCCAACCTAAAGGCTGCTAGATATTTCTCTCCTCTTTCTGCATGACTCTGAATATGCATGCACACACAGATGTGTGCAAGTACATTTGTAAACGCACACATTTTCTGGCAGTGCACCATTCTGCCCTAAGTGGTGCTTTTTAAATATCTTAATAACTCTGCCTTTATTGCTGCTGTGTGTTTCTTTCACGTTGTTTATGGTCTATTAGGTGTGCACACTAATAGATTAAAGCTTTACTGCTTTAATCACTATTTAATTCATCCTGTAGTTATGTGAATACTTTCCTTTCTTCATTACAAGGCCTTCAAATAAACTTATTTCTGCCTGGTACTGCTTTCTGTTCTTAACTTTCTCTCATCTTAACACAAGCTATTTCAAGAAACCAGCTGAAGTGGCAAAATGATAGGCAAGCTTCCGATATCTCTTATTTAGGGATCAGCAGATCTTGCGTTAGAAGTGTACGCTATTATCTTCCATTTGCAGATCAGAGAGCAGAAGTACAGAAGCAACTTGTCCACAGTCTCCCAGCATGCTAGTGGTACAATTGGGGGTGATACTCCAATTCCCAATCTTCATCAAATGCTCTTTCCATAACAGCATCTGGTCTGACTCACAGGTAGCTCGTAGCAGCTCGCACCAGTGAGACCTGGAAGTGTGTTTATCAATTTTGCAGCTCCAAGAAGAATCCTCATAATATAAAGACAGATTTAAACCTTTATCTTTATCTCAGAGTTACAAACTCTGCTTTCTTTAACTATTTCATCTAAAATACCATTTAGTCTTAAAACTAGGCTCTGGGACTTTTCATTTAACTTTATTATCTTTTCTGCTTAAAAAAAAGTTAAAGCAGCTCATTTAGTTATATGGGCTGAAGATATAAAAAATGAATTTTATTGAAACCTACATGCCTTTTAGTGGTTTAATGTTAGTGTGCTTAAATTGATAAAAGTACCAGTGTCAATATGAAAAAGGGAAAATATCCAAACCAACTCTTCCTAAAAACCCTTGGCAATAAAGGCATACTATACTAACATTTCCATTTTCAAATTACACTTTAAAGGTTCAATCAGTCAGCAGTCTAGGATATTAATTCTTTTAAGTGAATGCAAACATTCTTCTCTTTGCATTTTTAAAAAAAGTGTCATATCAGTCCACTTTCTTTTCTGTTGAGGGAGGCTAAACATAATGTTAGTGCAGTCCTCTGTTTATGAAGTGCCAAAGACAATGAAGTGATGTTCATTTACCACCTTCAGCTATGCAGTGTCCAAACAGCTTATTAAGCCCTCTCTGCTTTGTC